GTAGGTGGAGATGATTTTGGTTTAATGGAATACATTAATTTGTCCGAGGAGAATGTTTATTGTATTGAGAAGGTAGCGCCGGACAGTCTGGTCGTATGTAAAGCTCTATTGTTACGAAAAATACCAATCCACACTTCAAGTACATAACACTGCAAAAAACACAACACCTCTCCACTCAGTGCTGTCGATTTCTCTATACCCGGCTAAAGGATCCTTGTACTGACCACAAAACCATCAAAGGGCCAGAAAAACGGCCACAAATCGTCTTACCTCGCCTTTTATGATGTTTAATCTCAATTTTAAACACTCTAATCGCAGCAGGCAATTCTGTTCAAGTGTGTCCGGATTATATAACGTGCTTAAGTGGTCAAGGAGAATTCGCGACAAGTGTATAGCTATTATTTGCGCCGTGTACTGCAATGTTCCGGAGGAATTGTAACGATTCCGTGTCCGCGTGTTATAATGCCCTTTGATTTGGGCAAGAAATAGCTTCACGAGTGTGTTTGAATAACGTACTTATGTAGAGTTAATTAAAAGAAAAACATAACAGGTCGGTGGTCATAAAACTTTAAGGAAACATATGGTGGAGCAAGGTACACCGTATTTGTTTGTTTTTCAGGCCACCGTAGCGTACTTCTGCATGTCTCGCGGGCGTGTCTGGCATCAGCTGGACTTAGCTGACCGCTGTCCACTCAAACTGACAACTCAAAATAGGTTAACAATAGGAATTTACAAGATCCCGACAATGATCTGCTTACTATTGTTTTTCGATTATAATCGGTAAACTGCTTTTGTCTCTGGTGTTTACGAGGCTTTAGATGTTTCCGGTTAGGACCGATAGGGATCTCTCATTATTCTATTTATATTACTGTCAGGGTTATTTAATTACCGTTATACATTGATTATATGTTATCTGCTACTGCAATTGAAGTCGGCCCTATTATATGAGATTTATCTAAAACTTACCAATGTCAATCACGCTGGAACAGGAAAATCTCTTTATCTTCCTGTTACAAACATAGATCCTTTGCAATTTGGATGCATTTTGTTTAAAACATAGATAGAACATATCATTCGCATTTATGATAAAATCCAAAATGTAGTTCGACTAAATAGTACTTGTCAAACCAACAATTATTATGAGGAGAATTTAGAGCACTATAGATATAAGTATATAAAAAATTGAGAACATGTATAAAAAGCTGCTAACGACGTTTGTTATTGTTTTGTTTGATTTTTATTCTCATTTGTATCCGCTAGAGTTAAAAGTAAGGTTATACTACTCTTTCAATGGGTAATGACATTTTCTTTATCATTTATACACTGTGATTTGTTATAAACCATGATACAGTTTATACACTATAATTCTACATCGTCATTCTTTATCACGTATATTTTGTAATAATTTATCATCTTTATATTTTGTTTTGTTTTTTTCTATTCTCTGGGGTAACTGAACCTGACTTAAATTTAATTTTAATATGAAATGTAATATTTTAAGAAGGTTTTACAATTACGTTGTTGGTTCCCGAAGTTGAAAATACTTAACTGGTATCAAGCATGTGAGCATGATTCCTCATGTCTTCATTATAAAAAGCGATTATTAACTCGGGAAATAAAAATACTAATTCAAACACATTCTATGGAATATATCTTATTTTTCAAATGCACAAATGTGCTTTTATTTTATAAGAATTGTCATGACGAGGATACACTAATAAATATTTAACACATTTTTTAGCAAATATACAGTACACCCGTTGTAATCTTTATGAGATATACGTTTATAAATTCCTTAAAACTACTTTAACTTTGAAAATTATGTTTGAACATGAAATAACCATGGTGTGTTACTTACATATTTATTCAACCAAGGTTTTTACTATGTCGATAGAAAAAAATGTACTTGCACCTGCTCAGAATTATATAAACTGATCGATAGATGACATTTGCATATCAGCTGTTTATAGCCAGTTGCGGCCGTTGAAAGCCTTATTTACCCTCACGTCGAACGTAATTCCAGAATTCATATTTCGACTCTCAATCGAATATGCACCTGACTACATGAATAATGCATATATTTGCCTGAAATTGATTGCATTCATCAGTTTTCAGAAAAAAACGTGAGGCGATATACTCACACACAGCGAAATTGATGAAAGGGTATATATTGCTACATGAAAAACGGATACACCTTACTGTTTAGATAGTGCTATGTCGGCAGATTTTTTTTACATTTTATACCACATAGGGGCACACAATGTTCAATATTGAAATGTAAGGGCAGACAAGGTTACATATCGATATAGGACATACTTGTTTGCATATCAAAATATAGGGCACGCTAAGTTACATATCGATGCCTTTGTTATCCGCCATGTATATATGAATGTCTGAGAAATATAAAAATCTGAAATTTGAAAAATTACATATTGATATATAGGACACACAAAGTAACATATCGATATATAGGGCACACTTAGTTTCGTATCGATAAAGGGCACATTAATTTAAATATCGATACACTAAGTAACATATTGATATATAGGACATACAATGTTACATATCGATATATAGGACACACAATGTTACATATCGATTTATATGACACACAAAGTAACATATCGATATATAGGGCACACATAGTTACGTATCAATATATAGAACACACAATGTTACGTATCGATAAAGGGCACATTAATTTACATATCGATACATCAAATTTTACATATCGATATATAGGACACACAATGTTACATATCGATTTATATGACACACAAAGTAACTTATCGATATATAGGGCACACATAGTTACGTATCAATATATAGGACACACAATGTTACGTATCGATAAAGGGCACATTAATTTACATATCGATACATCAAATTACATATCGAGGTAGAACACACATAATCGAAAGGTGATATACGTAATTATATACATCGAAATTAACCAGTAGAAAGTATCTAACTGAAATAACATACATAATGCAATGCCATTCAACGTTATACAGATAATGTATACTTACAGTTTCATTGCTGGAGTATCTGTATGTTTGGATATATGTTGTTTGTCGTGTTAGTGAGAACGTTTTCTAATCAATAACAGGTAGACCGAGAAATGCACGGGTTCCAATATTCACCGTGGCTGGTCACACTATCCAATTCATAATTCATCACATTTCCCTCTACTATCATACAGTTGCTTGCTTTGGTCATTGTCCAACAATGATTGGTGATTGACAAAATGTCTCGCCCTGTTTCACGATAAAAAGATTAATAATATCAACTGATTAATTAAAAAATGATGTGTGATGCTTAGAAAACATTATTTGCGGATGTATCAGTAATTTTTGACAACGAGAGTATTTATTTGTGTAATTAAAACAATAAACTGGTTTGACTTCGTGTTTTTAAATATTTTAATTTGCCACTTAACGCACCTACTGTGTAAGCAATTAGATATTTTAATTAGTCGGAGGAGTCCCGGGGGTGATAAGGGTGTCCCAAGGATAATTAAGGTGCTCAATTTCCTCGGTCATCCCTCTCACGCTTGGGTGGAGTTGACACCCAGGGACGGAGAGAGCTACTCTGAGGGTCGGGGTACTCAGCCCCACCCCCGAGCTGCATCGTAGCCTATATATACACCCAGCGTGATATCGATCAGTACATTCAGTCTGTTCTAACTGACCAGTCGAGACATATTGAAATCTACACTTGTATCTTACGATATAACCCAGTCCATTTAAGACCTATATTGATGAAACATCGATTCCTTTGACATCAGAGAAACCCTGAAGAATTTACCAAAGCACACATAACTTATATGATCTGATATCAATAGCTTGCAAGTAGCCCCTCAGCTATTTAGGTCTTTGAAAATAACCATATTTAATATTGAAATATGGAGGCTCCTATAGTTATGTATGACGTCACAGGAACAACCGATGATTTTCAGGTAAATTGATTTGTATATTGGTCATATATGTAGAGTCGTATAATGATATTTTAATATGTTTATGAAATATCGTGAAATGTGAGTAAACATATATTTAGGTAGAATCAGATTTTTCTTGAATCCCACGAGGCTAACTCACAGTTATGACTACTTGTTAATTCGATTCCGTGAGTGTTGTAATAGAACCTCTATCAAGAACCCGTCAATTGAATAATGAGATTATTTTTCATGTCGATCCTTTCTTTCTCATATTATTTTTTTACTCAAAAATAGTCTTTTGTTTTGACGTTGAACCAAGTTGTCGCCAGTTGTTCGTCTAAGAAATAAACTTAAGATCCTATTAACTAATTGACAAAAAGGCACAGGCACTCAATTTCATCTTGGCTTAATGACGTAACAAGAAAGACCGGTCTTATCTCGTATAGTGTTGTCTTAGTGTTAAAAACCTTCTGTTGAAATCGATTACCACACCGCTCCGTCGCTTTGAAGACAAAGAAACGTGTTTTTATTGACTTACTGTATTTACTACCTATTATTCTTACAAACAGGATATACTCACGGGATCGTCTGTTTTACCTATATGTGAACGTAATGTTATGGCACTGAGTATCCTTCCTAATTTCATCATGTTTTTCGGGCATATTTGTTTTTCTACAAGTCTGATACCAATGGAAATTGATTTACATTTTACAAGTAAAAAAATGATTATAAAGTAAAAAAATAAATATTTTAAGATGATTTACCTTTCAGTTAAAAAAAACATTTTTTCTATCCATTTATTTACCATTGTTTAGAATAAAATACCGCTATTCTACCTATTTAGATAACTAACATAAAAGTCTGTAGGTGAGCATTTTTCTCTATTGTTCGTCCACTTGATCGGCAAGCTAGCGTAAAGAGGGCGGAGCCTAATCCGTGTACAACGTTGAACCAATCATCCATGTAAGATGATAATCCAATCAAAGGCGTCTGTTCAGTTTAAGTCCCGCCCACACGTGCCTTCCATGCAGTAGCAATGAACCATGGGCCGTCCCACTGGTATAAGCAGTCATTTAGCTCGCGGTTTATTTAGAAATCGTGCCTCTGGGCGAGATGAACGCTAGTGTCTTGTCTGAAGTACACACAACGATCGTTCTTGAGACTTATACAAGGATTTAGGGGATAGCAGTTTCTCTTATAGAATTTCTCAGAAATATTGTCTTCAAATTTTGTATGTGGTAATATCTCATCGTGTTAAATTATGCTACATGGAGGAATTCTGTAGTGTTGTGACAAGCGTACTCGGAGTGCTACCCGTGGGGTGGCGTTTGTGAGGGTGTGACCCCCCGGTATGGCACAAGTCAGCCCCGTGGGACATAATCATATTGGGGCTACAGCTGAGGAGGTAGGGGGACAACAAAAAGGCGTGGTGAACGGCACAGCGAGTCTTACGGACTTGGATCACAATTCACAGTACTACAAACCTCAAGTTACAACTATGCCTTCGGCTTTCGGTATCATAGACTCTGAGGTGATTATACAGTAGTTACCTGTAGGCTGAATCGCGTACCACCTCGAGGAAATAATACCTTTTTTATTGACATTCCAGATTTGTTTACATGTTCAGTTATTGAATTATTTTGTACACCTTTTGGGTTTTTTCTAGTTAGTTCATATTCCTGGTCGTTGGAATAAGACACTAAGTTCCGTTTGAATTTAATAGTTCTAGGGGAAATTCGTCTCCATATGGTTGACTTACTCCATCCCGGATCCATTGTTTACTATGTATAAATCATGATTACAATTAACTTGGTATACGTAATATCTGTATATAACTAATACTTTATTATTATTTTTTTAATTTCAGGACCGCCGAGATGTGGTCAGCAGCCAGGGTTTGGGCCAATTGGTCACTTCAAGTGCAGGGTCATTTCCTCCGGCCCCAAGACTTTCCCACACACCTACATCCGATTTCCAGCCTCCGTACTTCCCCCCTCCCTACAATCTGCCATCCCAGCAGAGTATGGAATTCCATCACCCTCATTTTAATACGGACTCTTACTCCCATCTGGGAAGTTTCCATCAAGGAACGGTCACTCAACAGCATTACCACCAGCTTCACACTCCCGACTCCCGGAACGTTCTCCGACCCCGGGAAGATGGACTACACAACATGCACCACGGGCTCCCGGCCCCCCATGATCCCCGAAGGACGGACTACAGTGGAATGAGGCGTCCGGATATTTTAGTTCCCGGCGGACATCATCTTGGTTTTGATCAGGACCCAACCATTTTAAATATACACGCAGGAAATGGTTTACAAGTTTTAGACGAAGGTATTCACCAGGTATGTTATTTTTTTGTATTTCATTTAATTAGAATATGTATAAATTATTTCTTCTTATTGTCGCCGACTGTAATATCGGCCGAGTTGATTTGGGACATTTACATATCCCTTTTCTTTTTACTATTAAGACGTCACACATGTCTTGTTCTGTCTCAATAATATCGGATTATTTCAACACCTCCAATGATTAGGACAGTCACACGAGTATTAACTAAAGCAAACGTAGGCCACCAAAGGTCCCTTTCAAGCATTTCTCAACAAATTGTCGGTTACCAAAGCCATATATTTCCTCGATGTCTATCATTAAATTCGCATAGAGTCGGTCTCAAGTTACAATATTCTACCTCAGAAAATTCCACCTCGTTTAGTCTCGTAGAAATTATTATGAAATATCGTTAGAATTTCCAAGCTAATTGGCGAGTTACAACTCCACAAAGAATGAAGTGAGAATTGAAGGTGATAAGATGCTCTCTTCTTTAATTGAATGTCGACTTTGAGGTAATTTTAAATGACATTAGAACCAGATTTCTACCAGTGATCGACATGAGGAAGAAGAGGCCATTTTATTAACTACATTCATGTGTTAATTTTATCGCAATAATTCACAGACATCGCCAACAATTACAACCAAAATTAATTTAGAAAATAAATGAACAGAGAAAGAAATGTTTAAGACGACATTGATAATACGATTGTTTAAATTAACATCAATGAGAATATACCACTTCAAATTATCCCATAACTCTTTAATTTTGTCGGAAAACATTGTATGGGATTTCAAAAATTTATTTCCTTTTTTTTGTTTACTATTTAAAGGTCAATTTAATTTTTATTTCTTTGTAACAACAATAGTACAGTTTATCTTTCGTTATAAAGTCCCAAACACTCAACACCACTGCCTATACATACACTTAACTCTGAAACATACTAGCTAAGAAATTAACTTCAATTATACTTACAACAGAAAAATGAAACGGATTATTTTTTAGACTGAAAAATAATTCTCTTAAATTTTACATACCTTTGTGGTATTTTGTACAGTTATTTTAATATAACATTCCATTAAAATTACTAGAACATTTAAATATAGCCCTACACCTAACTTTGATATTAAAACATGCGTTGGGGACCGGTAGACTTGTAAATGGATGTAGTTTACACCTGTACTGAACCGTACCCAAACCCTATTATCATCTGGAGTACAAATTGTCGACTAAAATGACCAGAAAAGTGTGACTCAAAACTGGTGCGCCTGTCTAGAACTCCGGGGTGGCGCCGAATCACTCTGTCTATCACGAGAATCTTATTTCCGTGTTTAGCTACAGAAATGACTTAATTCAGCCCGACAGTTTCTTTTGTATTATTTTTAATGTAATTTTCATTCAGGTCTTTACTTTGTAACATTCCATAAATCTCGCTGACAGCAAAAACACGCTCACAACAAAATAAACTTCATATGAAGATGTTCATTTGATATTTGTCAGAATTTATGAAACAAACAATACTGGAAGAACTACAAAGGGTTGTTCTACCTGACCGAAGCATATCGCACAAAACTGTTCCTCGCACATATGACATTTCAACAAAGGGCCCTACCAAAATAGTAATCATCCATGTGTGACTAAAAGCAAACGTGATATGGTCTGTTCACTTCTTTTTTTTTCGGATGATAAATTAATATCCAGACAGCTTCATCAGTTGATAAATGAGAAATCGTTCTGGTGTTTTTCTGGCAATTTTAAAAATGTTATTTATTACATTTTTAGTAGGATATGGATACCATGAACTTGTGGTAATATTTGTTTTCTACAATTTCAATATAAGATTAAGTTCCATTAGAACAGGTTTAATTAAGTAAAATATCTTTCCGGTGTTTATTTAAATACTAATCTTTATTTAGACAAGATTCAGTTGTTTAGACGGTACCCATTGGAGACTTAAATTATATAAGACACTGTGGAGCAAGTCCATTCCCTATTACTCCGTATTTATCCTAAAATCTGAGTATTCCACTTCAGTTATAAAGTATAATGGCACACCTCCAGTATCAACCTCATCCGCTAGATCAATGTTGGTTTTTAATTAAATCTCTATGTAAACAAGCCGACGTGAATTCTTCCATTCAAATATAATGCATGATAGGTTAACAACACAGTCCTACGCGAGGGGAGGGGCAGGTTTTGTCACCTCCGCGCCCAGCTCGACCCAAAACCGGTCGAAATGTAGGGGTCATTTATCAAACTGGACAATGCAGGTCGGACACAAGTGACGTAAGTGGTCATTCCGGTTCCTCGTACATACCTAGTCATCAGATGACCATTTCACGTCAACCTTACAAATAAGTGTTTACATTTGACAGGCACCTCAACAGAACTGGGTTCCTTGAGAAATTGTGAAGCTGTGGAATAAAAATTATCAGTTCACTGTCACATTTACAAAGGTGTCATGGTTTTTAAAACTCCTCAATCATATCACAAGATACTTTGGCAAAACGATACTTATATTTACAGAGAGAGTAGGAAAGGATTTAGTACAAAACGGTGTCCGGTGTTTGGTTCTGTTATATAGTATTTCCCACTGGTATCAAACTGTAACGCATCATTTGGGATCTGAAATCATTTTATGATTAAATTCGTGTCCTGTTAGGAAAATTGATACCGAATTTAATAAGGTAATTTCTATGGTAGGAATTTTATTTTAAATAATTTAGGATGATATATGTTCTCCAATTTGAACCAACAAACCAGCTGTGTCATAACATTAACATCTTTCTTAGATCTACAGTGGATTTTTTTTTGTTATAGATACAAAATATTTAATATGTATGGCTCCTTACTCATTATATTATACAAAAATGAAATGCATGTATTTCCTTATTAGAACCTGTTAGTATCAGATTTTGTTATTATGGTATAACCTTGTACAATACACCAAACATTGAGAAGGAAAAAAATATAGGGATATTTTATTGATTTTAAAAGGAAACTGACAGAGAGAAATGTTGAAATTAACACTGATTATTTCTCAGATTTTACCCAGTAGTCCAGGGTAGTGCATTTTGATTTTTACAAACACAAAACAGCTAGAATTTCAGATCTATAACTGTTTTACTGTTATATTGCTAGTAGGTGCGGAATCGATCACATTCCCACATGTCATATAGTCATAAAAAAGCCTAGTGTGAAAATACTAGGATAGAATCAAAACGAAGGCAATATGCCGGTATAGCAATTTACAGTATGTCTCCAGATAATTATCTGACAATAATTCTCAAATGATCATGCTCACGATCTCAGGAGAAAATACCACCAGTGTTTTTTTGGCTTTGTATATAGTAGGACTGGAGTGTATTTTTTTTATTATATGATAATTTCTACATTTCCATAAAATTCTATTTTTTCATATATGTATAAAAGGGCCGTAACTGTCGAGGCGGTATCAATAGGAATGTATCAAATTTTATATTCTCAAATTTCTCAAATATATACCCGGGAAAAGAAATGATTTAATTAAATAAATATTTGAAATGATTCAGATGAATTTTTAAGATATATGTGAACAGGTTTATAGTGCTGTGACACCTGAATGCCTTGTGTGTTATGGGGCGTTTCATTTTTGTATATTTCTTTATAGCTGTGTTTATTGTAACACTGACTATAAAGCAGAAGCTGCCCCAGGGCTATATAATACTACTACTACAGAAAGAACCGTTATTGCACAGAACTGGTTTTTTCCCCTGACGTCTCTTTAGATTTAGATAGAGAACAAATATTAAAAGAAAAAAACTAAATAATACATGATGATAATTCGCGATTATCTACTGATAACTGATTTTAAAAAAGATACACTTTGTCAAAAATTGATGGCTTAGATAACCACGGTTTGTTATTGAAAAAGCTCTGAATATAAACAGAATTTAAATGAATTCCTACAACTAGCGCTGATATCACAACGAATATTTAAGGGTACTTTTTGAAGAATTGTGAAAACGAAAGTGTTTCTTTTTTTCCTATATTTACTTGGTTATGGTAAATCTAATTCTAAATATAAAACCGTGGTGGAGACGTGATTTAATTCTAGAGCTTTTCAGTACTGACATTTAATGTCCTGGCTATTTTAATAGAGGGTTGTAAGTTAGCTCTACCTACAGAGGTGAGGATAGGGACTCCGCGATCGCTTATTTCCGCTCCAAATCACAGGCCACATCCATGACAGAGAGGTGATAAAGTATAGATGTATACATGTACACGCTAACTCACAGACAAAGGGGCTCATCTCCATCCCCAAGACAAAGGCGTTAATACACAAACGATTGACCTCAATTTAGCTGTATAAAATTCTAGGTTATTTTGAGAATCTGACGTTGAAAAAGAATTGCACACATAATTACAGTTTACATATACATTTTTACCTACAATACAGGGTTAGACAAAAACTCCCATTTGGTGGAAATAGAAGCTTTTAACATTTTTGTACTATTCGTGTATAGATTAGAATTTCCAGTTTTCTGTTGAGCTCTACAGCAGGTGCCCGTTTGGACCTACTGTATACCTGTTGTGATTGATGGCATGTCGTCAGCTCGTGACGTACGCGACAGATGAATGCGAATCCTCAATCATCGAAAAACTCCTAGTCAACCGCGTTGCCATGGCAACTTTCTCTTAAAAGATTTACTTTTTTGACATTTCCGCACGAAAATTTCATTTTAAGCCGAATCAATTAGATAATGTATGATGTGCCATAAGATGGGGATGAAAATGCACCAGAATTGATTTTGGTTTTATTTTGCAGGCTGGCTTGGAAGATACGACCAGCTTCATCTCAGGGGAACATAACCACAGTGTGATCCGTAAAGGTAAGTCCGCCATTCGATTCCAGCTCTTATTTTCAACCTTCCGTCAACTTCATTCCGACCAAATGACGTCACCTGCCGATAAAATGTCAAACGTGAAACTATTTCTGAGTTTTCACTAATAAGATAATTTCATGTACATGTAATTTTATTTATTGCGAGTTTTCCTTTTCTTGACGAAACGTCAGTTTTATTTGAAAACGTAATACTTCTAGGAACAAAAAAGGTCTCAAAAGAAAAACTCGTAAAAAATCGATTAGTTCGAATTGAAATACCTTTCCGGTATAACATTTTAGGCAAACAATTAAAAGCAATATTGAACCTCTTAAATAATTTTGATGTTTTTTCCCGATATAACTTCGATGAAATACATTTTAGAATTGTTTAGATAGGGTAGCATATTGAACGTGAGGTTGTGACTCCTACGTGAACAAGCAGGTGCCGTTTACTGTGTTACTTCTATTACTGGGATTGAGACATTTTAGCGATAGTTTCATGGCCCTTGCTCCTCGTTACACATAGGTGGGTTTGATATTATAATAAAACTATAAAGGTTGTTGGCGTCAGTTAGCGTGGTAATTGAAAGACCATACTTGTTTGTAACTAAAAGGCTTCCCTCACCATGACACATTTGGAATGCTTTATAATGCAGACTTTTTCATATTTTTTTCCCCAATCTTCCGATACCGAATAGAGCTTTTGTGATATGAAAAATTGTAAAAGATTTCTGATAAAGATTTCAAGTGTTTTCGCACTCATTATAAGGTTAGAGAGGGGGAACCTTTTTACGGAGAGTTGTAGAAATTAATCACTGCTCTGATTGCATAAACAATTCTTTCGATTTGTTGTCTGCATCCTCAGCAACATATGCCTACCCCTATAAAATTAAAGTGCTTCTTTTTTTAGTAATTTTTCGTTAACAAAGAAAAAATGGTAATGTGTAAGAGCAATCAATTTTAATGTTAAATAATGCCAGTACTACAATATACATGTACTTCCCATATCCCTCCAGTAGCTAATGTTAAGTGTCCCGGTAAGCTATATTTACGGAAGTAAAATGTCTGATACCCCCGGGCTTGTCAGTGTGTAACGTTACATTTCTGGTTAGGTATAATTTCTTACCTTGACACTGTAGGTTATAACTACGTAAACACGATCATGTCTAGCTACACCTATACAGGCCCCTGGGGCAGCTTTACTCTCGCCGACAGAGGTGAATTCGTGCGCCTCTGTGAAGACCGTGAAAGAGAAATTTAAGATTCTTCCCACAATAACTCTCCTTGTTGTGGGTTTCATTCCTCAGTGTTTGACGGTAATATGGGTGGCAAATGTCCCGAGATTGTCCATTGTCAGAGCGAAACACAAGAGGGCATTTTTCTACATTCAGGCGGCATCATCAAACCGCGTATAAACCGTAATTGTCTTCCTAATATCTCCCTTCGTGAGCTGACAGGGTTCACATACCCTATTACCACCCTAGTATTAAGATATTGACATCAATTTTGTGTTTACAAATAGCTTATATTGAAGATTGTAGTGTGAAATCACATACGTCACTTCCGCAGGTCCCATCATGGCTGCCTTCCTTCCGCTGACCCAAAACTTCAATTCTAACTATTTCCATATAAATAAAGAGTTCGTTACTCTCCTTTTGTCTTTATATCTTGATTACTCCATGTGGTTGTAACTTGACATCATAATTTTCTACAAGAACCACACACAGTGCACGTGTTTCAGATCCCTCGAGTCAAGCTCTTCAGAAAATTAAAGATACATTATTTACGTACGAAGTAATATAGACCATAGATTAGGAACTACCAATAAGACATCATTAACAATCAGCTGGTCGACATGCAACGTGCATCCACTCTAGTCCCTACCATTTACGTGCAATGAAGTGTCCTATGAAATAGTCATAGAAGTCGACAATTGTAATGAGCACACTGTTGATAGAGCGTGTATCATATCCTTACAAACGACAACGGCTTTTATTGAATTTGAATACACTCCTTTTGAAATGCTCATTCTGTAGGCGATTTGTAACCTTGCTGTTCAAACATAGCCTCTCAACTCTCCCCAGGTGTTTAGATAGCTTCAAAGGGACTGTGATACTGAAGTGTTTGCACATAGAGTTTTAGTTAACATCAAACCACCCATGTTAGAACTGAATCAATTCTCGAATATGTGCTTTTTGTACATTTCTATCACCATAATCAAATGGGGTGTCATAGCTACCAAAACAAATATGGCGTCTTACAACAGAATAACTTCCGTTTATGGCGGCAATTAAATTACCCTAGATATGTCTCGCATCTTCTGGAATATTGCAGAGACGATCGATTGCAATATTTGAGGAAAGGATTCTAAGTTCTAATATTCTAATCGTCGACCAATTACAAGCCTAACTTAGGTGGAAGTAAACATTGGTGGTTTTACTTAATGAAATTTCTGAGGATGTCATTGTTTGCCCAATCTTGAATGCAATAGGATAGCAGTTAATTTCATGAGGCACGATCGCTTGGAACCCAATCAGTTTCCCTGCCTTGTCCTCTCCAACGGCAACTGATGCTGAATCTGATACAACACGCTAGTCAATCTACCTCGTTTTTTCAATTCTTCAAGTATTGATTATTAAGTAAACGAGACCTAAGGTCTTACATTCTTTATTTTAATGTCTTTTTTCTTCTCTTTCATATACATTTTTTACTCATTTGAATATCTCGAACATAGGCGATCTTTTACGAGTATTTTGGTTTAACAAGTCTCGTTGCTGACTGGGGATGCGTGCCTCATAATTAGCTAATCTGTATCATTACCAAGCCGAGGAGAGAAGCGAGAGGAAAATTGAATTAATTCTGTTCGGGTGAATATTTCTAAGATCGTAGCTAATGAGAAGAAATTACTCACAGATTATGTGTCTGCGGCCTTCTCTCACAATTTATGAAATTGAAGTAAAAGGCCTATTCCCTATCCCTAGCCTGACAGATTTCTGGGCTATCAGACCGCCATGGAAACAATAATGTACCAATTTCAAGCGCCTCACACACCGAGTGGAAGACGAGAATTGATAATCTTCTGTGAAGCAATTCTCACTTCCACCACTCAAGTCGAGCTTAACCATCTAGTGCACTAAACAGATTTTATCATGACGTGGAAAACCGTGACATTTTCGTAAAATCTAGTGTTGAGTCGAACATGGAATACTTTGTTTTATTGCTTATACAACTTAACTGGCATTTTCGTGATAATGATTATTGTATTTTGTTTTGGTATTTTTAGGTATCCGACAAAAGAATGAAAACAACAAAGACCTTGTGATCTCCGGTGTTTCGTCGCCTAGTGACGTCTTCTGTTCTGTCCCGGGTCGTCTTTCTCTGCTTAGTTCCACATCAAAGTACAAGGTCACAGTAGCTGAAGTCCAAAGACGGTTGTCTCCCCCTGAATGTCTCAATGCATCGCTGTTGGGAGGTGTTCTACGCAGGTTTGTAGATTTTTATGACATGCATGTATATTTGGTATTTACGGGATAGTTATGGGATTATCAAGTTTCCTCAACCTGTTCTTAACATATTTGGAGACGATATTGTCTTGTTTAGATGGGGCGTTTGTCTGTACACCGGATAGTGGACCCCCTAGGATACGTTCGTCCAGCCATCTGATATATCTTTAGAACCGCTGTACAATTTGACTTCATTAAAATAAGGTCACGTGATGCTTGAAACTGCGAACATTGTCATTAGTGTTTGGCGGTACTATTGTGAGCTTCTGTGGAAGAGCTAAGCGACAATGATCCGCTCACCATGGTGCCCTTTACAAACAGTTCCTCAGAATCACGGCCGGTGTTTAGTAGGACATAACCCCAGCTAGTTGAAGAAACATCCGGCACGTCTTTAACATACAACAGCTGACACGGGTGGATCTTTAAGTAAAGGTGATTTTAGAGGCTACATTTGTGTGAACCAAAGCGACAAGTCAGCAAGATAAATCCTACATAGGGAGCGACAGTAGCATGAAGTAGAAAGTTCTATGTATTTGACAGTAGGTAGAATGGAATAGACCGGATTAAGGGTATTAGGCGTTAAGATAAATATCCGTGGCATAAGAGCCCTAGAGTGTGATAATACCTGTACCAGGCGTTACCGTCAAGAGCAGATAATCCAACAACAACACGTTAAACAATACATGGATTATCTTTCCCTGGTGAAACAACAGAGCGGTTAATCCGTTAACATTTCGTAACGTGGAAGCTTCATTCGTTTTAAAGTTCACGAATCAAGGAGATCGGTTATGAAATGTTACCTGTGTGTATTTGAAATATTAACTGCGTGTATTTGACCGAAGTATTAGTATGTGTAATTATGCAATCGAGTGTATTCAGGATAATTTCAAGTACGGCATTTATGTATGTAGATTATACCGTTAATAACGTCCAATCTTCTCTAATTCTTGCCAAGTCAGTTGTCAACACAAAACCGGCTGTATGTCGTTACGTTTACATTTCAATAAAAAAAAAATATTGTTTGTTTCAGGGCCAAGTCCAAAAATGGCGGACGGTCACTCCGTGACAAACTGGACAAGATTGGTCTGAGTCTGCCGGCCGGACGCAGGAAGGCAGCCAACGTGACCCTGCTGACGTCGCTTGTCGAAGGTAGGTTTTAATTGAAATATATTTATTTCAAGAATGTATAAGCGCTCAAATAAGTCAGACGTATATCACGGTTAAATATATTTACTGAGAATAAAAACTGTAACTTTTTCAATTTTCTGCCGTTTCAAAAATCAGATAAGATTTACAACGTCTCACATGAGCGAGTTACAGGTTTTAAACTTAGCATCGAGGTAAGGAAGTACATGAGTAGTTGACAGAGTAGCAATGTGGGCTTGTGGTTTTATACATGTACCTCTTACCTATGACGCGCACAGTGCATAGCATTCACCACAACACCGGTCTCTTCTAAGCGAGCACTTTCGTTCAGTCATCTTGATCAATTTAATTGCACTACATGTTTTCAGTTACACATTCAAACGATTTGATTGGCAAATTTCTAATAACATCACCAAAAAAAACCTTCAGAATATTAAGGTATATTGAAAGTGATTCACCCCGTTTGAAAATCAAGCCGTTGTTTTGTATCCTCATCATTGATCACCGGTCGACTGAGCTTTCTTGGCGACGACACGGATGATAAATGGGGATAGTGAAATCCTCCATGCGTGACCAAGGGTCCTGGAAATACACGCTAACTTAATGAGTCTTAAACCTAACACGCATCAGGGAATACATATTCTGTGTTAGCAGATACCACAACTTACCACTGACTGTCCGATTCAGCAAACATAAAATCAAAAACAATAAATAATGTTGATAGAAAGGATTTGATTACGAGAAACATTGAGATATATCAATATTCATTTTGAATCGGTTTCAACGCCTTACTTGTATGTTATTGCTTAATATTATATAATTTGATGTATCCTAATACATTTCAATGTATGTTACAGGTGAATCCGTGAGGTTAGCTCGTGACTATGGCTACCTGTGTGAGACTGAATTTCCATCGAGACAATGCGCGGAATACAACTGTCGTACATACACAGATCCTGCCGACCAGATGACCAGAAAAAACATGATTTTAGCCACAAAGTAAGTAGACTTGTACTTTTCCCGTTCTTCCAGCCACACCTATCACGAGGTTTCGATAGAATAATCTGTATACTTAAATATATCATATTATATTAATAATAAATAATATGTAATATTTATACATTTTCAATAATTAAATATTTATTTCTCACTTCCAAATATTATTTAACAAAAAATATCTATTTTTATCCTTTATTTTACAGACAAATTCTCAAGGAGTTCATGGATCTACTGAATCAGGACCGATCTCCGCTAGGAAACACCCGACCACAGATGATCCTGGAACCGGGGATACAGCGCCATCTTACTCACTTCAGCCTCATCACCCATGGATTTGGATCGCCAGCTGTCGTTGCCTCACTCACTGCAGTTCAAAATTATCTGAACGAGATGCTGAAAATTTTAGACAAAAATTACTCAACATCTCAAAATGCTCAGGTACCAAGTGGACAATTAGACAATGGAAAGACAAAACAGGAAAAGGATGAAAACAGAAGAGAGTAGTTATTATATTCCATGAACAAAAATTGGAGAAAAACATACGTGAACTTCCGGTTCAATGTCAAAGAAGTGCTTGAACATAGCATTAATTCGTCATGCTTAAATAACGCAAACTGTGTTTTGATCGATAACCAATTCGGTGCTTCTGAATGGACCATTATTGATAAAACCGTGACGTCATTAAATTATTTCACAATGGGATACAATATTATATATACAGGAAATCCATGTGTCTTTCCACAACGGACAAAGGATGGAATATGACGTAATATATATGAACAATTATCATGAAAGACTAATCATGACTATGTGAAATGCCACACAAACGACAGTGCAATGATTACGATAGTGTATGTGGTAGAACCCATCTTGCGTTGGGGCCTTGGACGTTTCCGTTGCACGTGACCTGGGGGCACAGAAGATTGTAAGTGCCTATTGCGTTGCGTTTGTCCTGCCCTTTTGTGTTTTAAAGAAATGTCTCTTTATCCAAGTCAGTTATTCATGTCAAATAATTTTCCTTCGTCAACATTTCAACCTACACGATTCTAAAAAAAATAAACTGATGATTTGATTTGGTATAGTGGTTTATTCTGGACTATTATCGCTATTCCTATTCGATAAAAGTATGCATGCGCATGAATACAAAGTTCTCTGGCTGAACACTTTTATTGAGAATGGGTGTCATTTTTTTATAGTTAACGATGACAACGTAGGTCGCTCAAAGTTGATTTTGTTTGGAACTTTACTTCAGCATTCCGGATTTCCCTCACCGTAAACGGGTCGACATATTACATTCATTGTATCACCATTTTGTTGTATATTGAAATATTTTGAAAATTATTATTATTATGTGATTATAATTTAAATCTCTAGTCCAAGTTCATGTTTGTGTCGCATTTATTTTAATTTTCAGCAAGCTGCAAGGCGAGAGTGTACATTTTAATTTAAGTATATATGTGAGAATTTTTCGAGTCTCTTGTTTTATTTTGAGATGTGTATGTCTTGAAGGAGTTTCTAGGGACATTCCTGTAACATGTACAAATTTTGTCTGTGACGATATCTTTTATCCTCTTACCAAAAGTTTTATGTAAGAGAGATGGACAAAGAATCAAATATATTCATGTCCATTTCGTCACTCAATGAAATGGATGATATGCGAATCCTAATAAAGTTTAGAAATTTCACTTCTTTGTATGTGGTTATTTGTTTTGCTGAAGGTGAAAAGGGAAAACTAAGCGATACGAAAATAAAGTGTTGCATTGTCAGAAAATAAAATTCTCAAGGATGGTGATCAAATATTATTTTAGGTGGCATTTAATTTTCTGTTTCCTAGGATTTTTTTTATCTGGCAATATGAGAACCTTTCTTTTCGTTTCTTTATTTGATATAAAAGAGGCAGTTTTCCTTATTTTTCTTTATCTTCAAGGTAACTCTTATTACTAATGCTCTATGGAAAATTTATAGTTCAACTATATTTTGTTGGATTTTTGTCAAAATTATTTTGAGTCATTATCCAAAAACCTACGTTTCCAACATTGTGGAAGTTGAGGGTTTTAACATGAATTTACGTTATCCAGAGTATTACAAAAATAGACATGCTTCAAAAATCATAAAAACACTATCACCAGAGCAGGTAGGACCAGCAGTTTATTTTCTCAAAAAAGTACATCTTTATCAATATCCTAAACTTGGCCCTTTCACAAACGCATTTAGAAGCGGGCGCATACTAAAATAACTTATAACGTTAAATTGAAATTGACGCTGTTTGTATTGTCGATTTTAATGCCCATAAGTTACCATCTAGCGACATAGAAATTTTATGACAAAATTGATTTACTGATGCCTAAATAATCAATATTCGTCATCATGATATCCCCTAACGAACGAAGTAGAAAGCCTGGTTAGGATTTAACATTATGAGTTGACTGATCAATGTCGTTGAGCAATCTGATGTGAGGTATCTTTATATTTTGTATATCTGATTTATATACTTCCTGCCGGTGACGTGCTCAACTGTTTGACAGATTTACACTATGGAACATGTATACATATTACAAAAAAAAATAAAAAAATTCAGGATATATTTTTGAACAGATAAAAACAATTAAAAGTAATAATAATTAGAAGTGTTAACACCAATGATACTAATTGGAACTGTTGACAGGAATTATTGTAAATGTAATTAGAAGTTTTCAGAGTAGATGTAATTAGACTTATTAATAATGCTAATAAAAAGTTTTAGAGGATGATGCTAATTACAAGTGTTACAGTAATAATGCTTTTTATATGATAAGCATTTTTTACAGTAAATGTTGTTAAATTTAATTAGAAACGTTTACAGGAATATTGCAAATTAATACGGGTTTCAGGAATAATAATACTATTACGTGTTTACAGGAAAACCTCTAATTTAAAATGTTTACAATAATTGTGCAAATAAGAAGTGTTATTTATATGTTAACATGATTTATGCTTAACGTAAATAGCATTGTTTACGGGGAAATGCCAATTAAAATATTAACAACAATGACTAGAATTATTCTTATTAAGGTGTTTACAGCAGTAATGTTAACCGGAAGTGTTTTGTTTGTTGGTTTTAACTGTTGTCCCAATTCCTCTTGTATCTAAGTGCTGAATAATAAAATATTCTGATATAAGTGTTTATAGGAATAATATTAATTAAATAATTTTACAGGGATAATGATAATAAAGATTAAACTTGTTTACAGGAAAATTATTGTTTAAAGTAACGCTAATAAACTGTTTATATTTTGCAGCAAATAAAAAAGAAGTTCTCTTTGTATTAATACATCTTTTTTCATGTGCAAAGTTAAAAATCGGGGGACGCGTTTCTAAACATGTGAGAATTAACCTGATCTATCCTTGTAAACATTAGGTAGACCTCACGACCGACACTCTCCCTAGATTGTATAAACAGAAGTTCACTGAATATAAATGACCTGTTTGAATTACAAATGTACCAGATGGCCAGGATTTACTTGGACTGCTCTGGCGCTCTACATAACAGATAGTTACAGAATTAAAAGGAAGATAAAACATCAATACTTCGTTCGAATTAAAAATGAACACGACAACGTAACGGGGTCACGTCCATCTGAGGTAGAAATACTTGCACGCCTTGAAGAAGACCTAGGTGCGTGAAGACAGACAGGAAAAAACGATTTCTTAAGTGTTCAAATATTTATGACCGAGTCGTTTATTAAACTACTTTTTTCAGGGAAAATTAAATTATAACTTAAATTGCGAGAAGACACAGGGACTCTTTCATAAAAAAAGATACAAGTGCCTTCTTTGAAAATTGCTCCAAGCGTATATGTTTTGTTCAGTATTATAAATCCATCACATGGATTTGGTTTATTTTTGTGTATAAGATATTCATGATAATGAGAAATGTATTTTTCTCCCACATCGCTGTAAAAGTAAAGGTAATAATAATAAATGATTCGAAATCAGGATTGTTTCCAAATTCAGTCCTTTCCTTTCAAATTGCTAAGTATATCGACACTTTCCTTTCAAATGAATCTCTCAATGTGTCACATGACCAAAACGATATTTTGGATTACACGTTTTGTACCTTCAACGCTAGAGAGGGTATTCAACGAGCGTATAATCACTGCAAAATTGCTCCCGAATCACAGTGATTTAGCGAGCTCTATTGCTCGGGTAATTCTCCGTTGGCGCGATACATTAAAGCCCGAGGGCTTCCGGGTTACTGATATCATGTACATGGTCAATTTTGGAAATAAGACGAATTTTTTTATTGTGTAAAGCAATATCATACATATATCTATAAAGCGTATACGTGTTCAGAAAAAAGAGAATGAAGGATACTGAAATACTGAAACATACTGTTTTTTCAGAAGATATTTGAGAAAAATGATCATTCTAGAATATTTAACCATCTTTGGCTCTGTTTGCAACAAATTGGTAAAATCGATTTTTTTTAAATTCATATGAATAAAAATAGATACGAAAAATAAAACACATCAATAAAAGGTATCGCTGTCATCTATAATTCCTTCAAAAAGGGAACTTACTCCAAACGTTTTCAGATCAAAATTTTCCTTTTAGGAACATGTTGTGTTGACTTGAAAAGTTAAGTAATGAAACTACGCGTTTTCTTTTCTTTCGTGTGATGGTGGGAGAGGTGGTTTCATCTAGCTTGTTCATCGATAGCTGACTTCCGGTTCTGTTGCCAATTATACTCCATAATACATCATCACCGGAAGTCCATTTGACACATAATGTGAATTTAAAGCAAATAGTACTCAATCAATTGCATTAGAAGGGAAGTTGAATGCAAAACACATGCATTCCATGATTTTTGCTTGGAATGCAAAATTTTTGGTCAACGAAAATGAATTTTGTTAGAACATCATGAATCGCTGTTTAAAATATACATACAAATGTATGTGTAAAGGGCAGGCACGTGTTTTGGAGCGTTCTATGCAGGACTACGGACATTTTACGTGTCCACTTTTGAAAATTATTGTACCAAACATTATGATAACCCAGGCAATATCAAAGGAAACCCATGCCTGACGTCTGAGAATATATAATTTTTTTTAGGGATATGTCACATTTACGAATACATGCTAATGGAATTTGTGTTATTTTCTCTATAAACGGAATCAGAATGGACGATACCTATCATAAACAGTTATTTAGGTCAAAATGACGACAGACCAGGAGTACCTAATGCATGTGACACTTACACTGACATACCATAGCGTGGCCTTTTATTGTTAATGCAGAACCGATACCATAAATCATATAGCCAGCTTAGACACTTTACCGGCGTAAATATAAACAGTTACGACCCTGTCAGTGCTTCGTCTCGTATTTGTGCCTCGTGTTTCACCTTGGTATTTTATAAAACTGTGGTATATCAATAGGAATCGTCTTAGGCAGAGCAGTAAGTACACACCTGGTGTATATAGGTATAGATACTTAGGAGCTGTTTATATATCATCAGTACAAATACGAAAATTAGTAAAACAAGATGAAGTGGAATGTGGAATTGTATAGGCAAATTAAAACAGTTCGAGGCAGGGCCAAGTGTTGGCCAAATACTTATAAACATATTAACATGAACATTTCGTTTGATTATTGTTTTCGACTTTATAGGTCAGGCGCAAATTTTATCTCTCTTGAATAAACACCATTTCAACACAATCTCTAGGAATAATTAATACTGATAACGTGAAAATGTTTTTCTTAATTAAGAATTTTCCCCTCTTGTCCAAGTTTAACCCCCTAAAAAAGTCGAGTATTATTGGATACTCCTAGACCATCGTGCCATTCGATTATCTAAGTAACTGTACACAGAGTGTAAAATAGTTTTTGGCTCGCGCCAATCCTAAGTGACAAACTATTCGGACAGAGGTTTTCAGGAGCCAATCCTAAGTGCCCAAAGCCACAGACAGTCTTTTAAAAGGAACCAATCATGAGTGACAATTTCCTCGGACAGAGGTTTTCAGGAACAACTCCTTAGTGACCAAATATCCGGACAGACGTTTGACAGGAGCCAATCCTAAGTGACCTAAACATAGGACAGCGGTTTTTAGGAACCAATCATAAGTGATTAAACATTCGGATAGATATTTGAAAGGAGCCAATCATTTGTGAACAAAAACATTGACAGACTTTTGGTAGGAGCCAATCCTGATTTACGAAACCTTCGGATAGACGTTTGACATAAAGCAATTCTATGTTTCCAAATCCTCAGACAGACGTTTGATAGGTGACAATCCTAATTGCCCACCTCCTCGGATACAAGTTTGTCAGGACCAAATCCTAAGTCCCCAAATCCTCGGATACAAGATTAACAGGAGCCAATCCTAAGTGTCCCAACCCACTACAAGTTTGACAGGAGCCAATCCTAAGTGCCGAAACCCTCGGTTGGACATTTGACAGGAGCGAATCCTAAGTGACCTAACCCTTGTGTAGACATTTGACAGGAGCCAATCCTAAGTGACCTAACCCTTGTGTAGACATTTGACAGGAGCCAATCCTAAGAGACCTAACCTTTGGTAAGACATTTGACAGGAGCAAATCCTAAGTGACCAAATCTTCGGATAAACGTTAGAAAGAAGCCAATCGTACGAGACCGGACCTCTTTAGATAGAAGATTGACAGGAGCCAGTCTTTAGTGACAAAACAC